CTTTGCTGCAAGTGAAAAAAGCCACCCCTGCATAGGGCAGGCCCCCTCTGGCTCCCTTGTAAATGTATAGAGGCTGTCCGAGCTTCTTTCATTGACTCTGAAAGAAAATTTAGCACATGCACTAACTTTACCTAGGGCTGAGATTCCCTTAAAGGTAAAAAACTCACTTGGGGATGGTCACCAACACAGTATCTTTCTAGCCATCTCTAGCTCATCTCAGATGGACAAAAAGTCTGAGAGAAAACTGTCACTAGAATATTTTTGCCCCAGAAAAAATAGAAAGACTAGAAGGAATTGGAAAATCCAATGTTGTCACAAAATATCCATGAGTGGTTAGAAGAGGTAAGCGGTAAATACAGATTAAGTTTTAATTCTGCAAATAATTTTTGAAAAATCAAATTGATTCTGGACATTTCAGATGAACGGCCACATGTAAGTGAATTTGAACTGCATCTTGAGAGCACAACTTGTTCATACTATCTTATCTATAGTAGTACCACTCAAGAATCAAAACAAAGGAGTAGCTTCACATCGTGTTGCTTTGGTCAACAACTACGAAAGCTGTGAGGCAGCAGCACAGGCTTCACCACAGATAAATAAAGCAAACTGCTGCTTTCATGTTTCCTTTGAAAGATAAGATAACTGCGTTCCCCCAAGATGTGACATCGTCTAATGAGTGAGTATTTTCTTGACTTCAGGTGAAGCGGTAGACAATTTAAAAAAAACAACAAAAAAAGAAGCTTTAACATTTAGAAATATTCAAACTGGAAAGATTTTTTTAATATCATAGATATCCTCCATCCTGATATGCAAAATTTAAGAGAAAGGGTGGGGTTTTCTTCAGACTGTTGAAGATACTGATTTTGCATTCTAGTTTTGTTATTAAATCTTTTCCAATGCCTTGTTATTGCAGTAGCTCTTTGGTTTACACTTGCTAGTTTTTGAATATTTAGACAAATATTTTGGATCTCTGGAACTCAGAGGGTATATCTAATTATCTCCTTTCCATTTATGCTCCAGAATCTGTTCTTCCAACTGGTATGTGCTTGAAAACCTCTCATCTCTTCCAAAAAAAAAAATATATATATCTGAGATAATGTCATCTTTTCTGATTACAATCTCAAAACCTTTTTGTAATAAAGTTGGTTTATTTCTAAGCAAGGCACATCACATGATGTTGATGAGCATTATTTACCATTTTTCTGTTTATAGTCTATATTTATTGTTATGGCAAATTATGCTGTTTATTATTACATGCTAAAAATACTTTTTATTTAGATTTATTTTAAAAAGATTGATCTATATTGGATTATCTGTTAGGAACCCTGAGACAACAGAAACGAACAACTGGCAAGATCATTATTACTGCTTTTTACACCCTGCTTTTCAGGTGCAGCTACTAAAGCAGGATAGCTGATCAGCACATCAGAAATTAGACCATGGAGACCAAATGGGGAAAAAAACCCTGTAACACTAAGACTACCAGCTCCTGGGATACCCAGTTCCCAGAAAGGTAGAAATGATAAGCAGCCGCCTTCTGGTGACAGGAGGAGAACTATCTATCCATGTTGTGGCAAACCAAAATAGTATGTTCTGACTCTCCATTATTTGTCTGCATTTCCATTTAATCCATTTGAGAGTTAATTGTAACAGAACCCGACCTTAAGGCAAATCCTGTATTAATACACTGGACACTGTATGGCTCTCTTTAGCTCACTTTTCTACCCATGATGTTGTTCCTATCCAATTGAAGCTTCTATTAAACTTCTAAATCTTTTTAGAGCCTAGACTTAGTCCATACAAACTATAACAAAACTTCCCTGAAAAGAAACTCATCCTGCTTGCTCTCCTCCTGACTAGGGAATCTTCTTCCTCCTCCCTCCCCAACAAAATGCTTTCCCACTATCTCACTTCAGGTAGAAAGACTACCTTTCCTTTGAGGAAAGCTGGAATAACTCCATGAACAGTCTGACAATGCATAACAACTCTGAAGTTTGAGGCAACATACAATGTGGATTCTAATGTAGCTATGTCAGTAACAAACAGGATACTTTAAAAGCTTCTGGCTAGAAAAGTATCAGGTAACATAGTAACAATGAATTATTAATAAATTAAAACCCTTTTTAAAGGAAATTTCTGGACCTTCTTTCTCTTAAAATTAACCATCCATTGGCAGGGAGGAGGGGGAAAAAAAAAAAAACCAACCAAAAAAAAACCCCAACAAAAACAACAAACCTTACTGGTCTGTATTTTAGGGGACTGGAGAGGCTGATCTGCAGAAGATAAGGATCTCCCCCTATGTTTTTAACTTCCATACCAGGTTATACACACTTGCAGAACATTTTCAGTTAGCAAAGACTGAAAATATTTGGCAGAGGTGGTCCACTGATCCAGAAACTGTTCAGCCTTATAATACAAGATCAGCCTTTAAGAGAGCCTTCTTGAACAACTCTGAGCTGTAACTTCAGCTTGTCTGGAACACAACAATTGAGATTAAAAAGTTTTCAGCTTTAGCAGCTCTTTCTCAGCTTCTTATTGCTCTCCAGCATAAAAAAGGGGGCAAAAAAGGAAAAGAAAAAAAGAAAAAATGAAAAAAGAAAAAAAGGAAAAAAGAGATTTGAGCTAGAAATTTTTACACCTGACTTTGCCTCAAAAATGAGTGTACAATTCTGCAAGGTTAACCTATTTTTATGCATGTAGAAGTTTTTTCTTTTTTGTTTTGTTTTGGTTTTTTTTTTTTTTTGGCAGAGGGGTTGGTAATCAGTCAGGCATTTAAGACTAATTTCTCTTGCTGTCAAACCAAGAAGGAACTTAAATGGCTATATTCAGACAGGAGAAAGAAGGAAAAGAAAGAAAATTTAAGGCCTTTAAGATCACAAAAATGTAACATGAAAATAAATTTCTAGAGCATCAGTAGAAAGGTCACTTTCAAAGACTCCCATTAATCCTTTGCTATGTGTTTGATGGTGCCAGTCACCTCATCTCTTTCCTAAAACACAATCCATAAATTCAGAGTTTAGGAGCCTAGCTAACTGAGAAATGTAAAGCACGTGACATGTTAAAAAACATTTTTAACTTAGAAAGATCTCTTCTGCAGCATTCTGTTTTCCATTGATATGCAGATCTGCTCACGCCAGCATGTGGGGGAGACAAGAATATCAGAAGCCAGGGCCTGCTATTTGTATATAAGAAAATTCTTTACAGCTGGAGTTCAACAATTATCCTAGCCTGGCTTCCATATGAAATTCATAGCAAAATTCCCATCTGCTTTCACTAAAACCAAATTAGGGTATTTGAAAATTCCTGTGAAGAACATTAATGTAATAGAAAAAATGTAAAATATTTTGGTCTGTCCAGAGAGTGAATGCTGTATCTTATTATGGCAAAAAACTACTATGGTTAAAAGCAGGTATTAAAAGTTCTTCTTTTAAAAGAGTCAGTAAGACTCTCCTAAAGGCTAATTTCCAGTAAGCTTGGACACCAGAAAGAACGGTACTATTTTAGTACAGCTACTAATGTAATGTTATGTTGTCAAACTATGTACCTGAGTACCTGGTAATTACTTTCTTTCAGCTTAGAGGAAAACGCCTTTCCTTTACAAGAAAGAGGGAAGAAATATTGCTGACTGCTGTTGCAAAGAGCAGGTAAAATAAAACACAGTGCTTCTGTTTGTTTCAGTACATTTTGCCTTGATGTTGTTGAGTCTAACTTACTTTTGCTGGTTATCTTCATCCTGTGCTTGGCCTCCATCTGAACTGAAAAGTAAACTATTTTATAAAGAGCCAGTAACCTTTCAAAGGGGCACACAGTTTTCTAGTACTTCTCTGGTGACTAACAGACTGCATTGGCTCTGCTTCTTGGCCCCATGGAAACTACTTTTTCAGGTAACATTCTATCTGCTGTACATTATAACCCACACAAGTGAGGCCTTTCAGCCAATCTAAATGATTTAGAGGTCAATTCTGCTAATGTTATGTTGAGTAATATCTTGTAGTAGGATTAGTCTCACAGAAACATGTTCTTTGTAGCTCAAGAGAGAGAACTTTTAACTTTGGGCTAAATCTTTGAAAACTCCATTAACCTGTCTCACAAAAGATTTTATTTACAACGTAAACAGCTTCCAAATCTGGTTGTTACTGTTATGGCTGTTACTCTTAAGTGCTGGTGACAGCCCTGACAGAAAACAGACCCTTGCCTTGGAGAGCTGACACTGCGATACTGCATCAGCTCTTGAGAGGGAATGTGATGGAGGCGGGGTTGGCAGAGAAGTGCTCACTCCTCTCTCTGACATTAATACAAATGTTTGAAACAGATAAACCAAAATCAAACAGGGAAGAGACATTAATGAAAATCCTCCATGTTTCCAGTAAGTCACCTGAGAAGGGGAAAGGAAGAATTGCCACCATCTGATGATGTCACATCTAAACAATGAGCTAAGGCTGAACTGAACCACAAGCTCTAAAGCACTCACTCACTGAGACTCAAACCCTACTTTTCCAGACAGGTCTAACCCAAGCCGAATGACTCTGATTCTTAAAGCCTGCAACCTGAGCCTAAAGGTTTTTGGGTTGGTTTTTTTTTTTTGGTTGGTTGGTTTTTTGTTTGGCAAAACAAATTCTGTTTCTCTCATGGTTTTCCCCAGAAACTCTCCATCCAAACACTAAACCACTGACATATTTGAAAGCTTAATTCATATTCTGTTTTCAGAAGTGTCTTTGTAATTGCCTTGTTTATGCTTTTGAGTCTCCACCAGTATAAATCTGGTAACAGATGATGTGTTTAAATCCACCAGCTGTTGTGTTTGGGTCTTGACTGTCAAGACAATCCTCTTCAGCAAATAAATATATTTGCTTTTGTCTGTCATGGATGCTTTACTACAAGTCTTACCTGTTAGAGCTTAGGAATTTGTCTGTCTCCTGGATGCATTTGGATTTAATTATTTGCTGAGTAAAAAAAATCTCCATGTGTCTCCTTACAGGCTGCCTTCAAAAAGACGCAACATGGCAACTACAGATACTGCTAACTTCTATTATAACTTCTCTGATCCCAACGAAAACGGAAGTGAGAATTTTCACACGTTTACAAGAGTCTTCCTGCCCTGTATGTATTCGGCTGTTTTCATCCTTGGGCTAGCAGGAAATGTGCTGGTCTTTGTCATACTAGTTTTCTATGAGAAACTGAAGATGCTGACAGATATATTTTTGCTGAACTTGGCTATAGCTGACTGGGTCTTCCTTTGGACGCTGCCATTCTGGGCATATTCTGCTGCTCAAGAGTGGACTTTTGGCATCATGGCATGTCATATTATACGGGGCTTGTATACTCTGAACTTGTACACTTCAATGTTAACTCTAACATCTATCACCTTTGACCGGCTTATTGCTATTACTTTTGCTACCAAAGCACATATGTGTCAAACCAAACGAATGACATGGGGCAAATTAATCTGTGTCTTAATCTGGGTGATCTCACTAGCATTTGCCACACCGCAGTTTATTTTTAGTGAGGTGTTTACTATTGATAAGGCAATATGTCAGGAAGAATACCCAAACCATCACACAGAACTGGTTCTTGAAGTGATCCAAGTGAGCCTTGGCTATTTTGTTCCCGTGCTAGCCATGATCATCTGCTACTCACTAATTATTAGAACCTTACTGCATGCCAGGAGTTTTCAAAAGAACAAATCTCTAAAAAAAATATTTTCTGTAGTTGCCATATTTATTCTTACTCAGTCACCCTATACTTTCTTGAGGCTGATAAAGATCATAGACTGGAGCTTTAACTTAAACAGCAGCTTTGAATATGCAATCATCATAACAGAAGCTCTTGCTTATTTCCATGGCTGTCTTAACCCTGTTCTGTATTTCTTCATGGGGATGAAATTCAGGAGGAACTTACAGAAAATTATTAAAAACTCAAGATGCATCAAACGGCAAGTTAAGGCTAAACAGTGGCAAACCACTGAAGAGGAAGGCTCTAAAACTTTTACTGCCTCAAATAATGCAGATGCAACAAGCATGTACCCGCTATAAAACTGCCTAGAAAATCTAGCAACTATTTACAGCTGCTTTTTTTTTTTTTTTGTAAATACTGAGATATGTAGCCTGCATGAAAGAAGAAATACAGTCCCATTAGCAAAGACATTGTGATTGGCTTTAGGCCAACCTATCTTAATCATGATACTTCAGTGTTTCCTGCTTTTCCTGGTCAGAGCTGGTCTTAAGACAAAGCTGGTAATTGAGTTAACTGTGCAGAAGATCTTCAAAAGGTATAAGAAACAGTGAGATAAAACTCCCTTCTTCATGACATAAAGCTAACTTGGACTTCAAAACTCCAGAGGGGCTGTAGACATTTGCCAAACCTCTGGCCTGCTGGTTTTCCATGAAAGGTGTTTCTTAACAAAAGCCTTTATGAGCTTTGTTTCAAAGATACTACAGATTTTAGTCCAGTTCATTCATTTCATGAAAATTCCTGGATTAAAAACATACACATTTCAATCTTCATGACAGGTTTCACGTGTTGGGTTGTTTTTGTGGGTTTTTTTGTATTTTTCCATTTGGGAGAAGGTCTCCACACACACTCCTTTAGCATTCATCTAAAATTTCTGTAATAAAGCAGTATTTTCATCTGCCTTCCATCTAGTATCAGGTTCATGGTCCGAATCTCCCATACACATCTTTGTATCTTCCGATAACAGAGCTCATGTTGCCAGATGACTAGACCCCCCACCAACACAAGGGATATCATACTGCACGTGGGCTCTAACACTGAGCAATGTTTCCTCAGATGCACACTCTCACATCCTAATTCCCACACATTCTTTGCACCATGATATCTTTCCAGTCTGTTTTTCCTGGTATTCCCTTGGCACCCTGGTTCCCCTGCCATGAAACTCTGGATTCCTTAGTTGTTCTCCTTTGTTGTTCCTGCAGTCCCTCCTTTCCACCTCTGGCCTTTTCACTTCCCAATGGAAGGCAAAAAGGTGCATAACAGGCAAGGCAGACTGGGTCAGAAAATATGCAAAAGCTCTTGCAGAGAGTAGCAGGGCAGGAGTGGAGACTACAATTGTGAAAAGAAAGAAGGGATGTTGGAGAGAAGCAGAGGGAGGGCTTTATGCAGCTATAGGCTGCCTATGATGAAGGCAGGGTTCGGTCTGGCCCAAAGGCTGAAAGTCCTTTGCATTACAGCTTTGAAATACCAGTTTTAACCTGTTTCAAACCATTCTTGCAATAACCACACTCACTCTGGACGTTCCTTTTCTCCCCATTAGCACTCAGTCCTTCCTACCAAATCAAAGTAGCTCAGTGGTACCTGACCCTTATCAGCACCATTGTGTCCATGTCACCTTTTTTCCTTTAGAAAACAGCTGCTTAGGCAATCCTTTCCTTACTACACAATCTCTCTTGTTTCTCCCATAGTGAAATGGTGCAACATCCTTAAAAGCAAAACTAGGAAGGAATGTGCTGTGCTTTCATATCTGTGTAGCGAGTAAAGCTGCTAACCCAACACAGAGCTGCAAGGCAAGCTTTGCTAGCAGAGGGTGGTGAGAGGTGCTCCTGTCCCCACTCGTCTCCCCAGCTGGTTCTGCGCAGGGCAGTGAATGCTTCAGACCTCATGCAGTTCCACCTTTTGACTATGCTGTCACCCTGCCTGGCCATGTGAGTTGTAATTAGGTCAGGAAAGAGTGTTATGAGTCATTAAGAAAAAAAAATATCTAAACCAAAGCAACCACAGTGCAGACAGGCTGAGATGTCCTTCCTACCAAAAACAGTACCAAGGTGTGAATAAATTTTGTTTCCATAGAAGTGGCAACGTTTTTTTTTTTCTTTTTTCTCTTTTACCACTTCTGCTATCTATGATCTTGATTCTGCTGCTGCAACATTTATTGCACGCATGTAATTTCTACATTATGTTAGAATGGAAACGCAGTGCGCTGGTTTACCCTGGGGACTTTGACCCAGTGCTATGCAATAACCTGACCTTTGTTTTAGAATACAATATGCAAATGTGAATGCTTTAGAAATAAAAGAGTTTAAAAATACAGCACTTCAAAACAGAACCCATGAGCCTTGAAGTAGCAGGATGTACTGCAATTGCGTAACTTATCTCACCTTCGCACATTAAGATTTCAATCAGGTTGCTCCAAACTCACGTAACAGACCTGAAAGCATGAACCGATTGCTGCTTAATCCTAACCTTTAGGAAAGAGCTGCTTCAAGGTCAGCTAGAATTATGCTGGTACAGGTTTATCTTACCTTGCCACACACTTGTGTAGCTCATGGCCAAGATGAGTTTTATTTGGTTCTCAACTGACCTGTACCAAGAAAGGCAGTCTTTCAAAATTTGCTGTTATGAAGTAAATCTGTTGTAATCATTTCATGTCACTTCAAGGAAAGAACTATAGGGCAGGGTTAAGTGAAGAGAACAAGTGAAAAATAGAGTAACAGTACAGTAGACACCAAAAGGGGGACAAATAGAAAAGAAAACATCCTTTAAGATAATTCACTGCTTTGAGCACCAACTCGCATTTCCAGTCCAGCAAGGACTCACACCCAGAATAAGGTAAGGTCAGTGTGAAAATCTCAGCCAGACTCACTCAGAGTAAGTAACTCTACTCAGCCAGAGTAAGACCGGAAGAAACTATGTCAACAGAGCACGTCTATTGCAGATCTTCTCTGTATTTGGATCAGCCAGCCTCCCTTCTCTTCCCTCTCTTGGCTGCTCCTCTCCCTCCCTTTTAGAGCTGCACCAATTAGTTCAAATCTCTGAAAAAAAAACAAATAGCTTGGACTATTTTCAGCAGAATCCCAGTAAAGAAGTCTGGCCTGAAAACTTACTTATTTGTATGCATTCCTCAGACATGCATCTACCAAGCACAATCTTGGATCCTTTCTGTCATCCCCAGGCACAATATCAAAGCATATTCTACCCCATATATTCAATTTCATGCAAAGAGAACATTATTGGGATGCCAGTGGATTATTATTTATACTTCAAGACTACCCGAAGTCTCCATATAGCAATCAGGCCACATTTAGCTGGATACTTTAAAAAAAAAAGATTAAAGGTCTATACGAAGTCAAGGTGGTTTGCCAATCCAGTTCAGCTAAGAAATCTACAGCAGTGAAACCAGTAGCTCGGAAAGTCCCAGAACTGTAGATCCTTGAAATGTGGGAGAAAACATACTGGGAAATTATCAGTACATCTGCTATGGGCTGCTGTCAAAGGCAGGACAGAGAGTTAGTGGAACCTTTGCGCACACTCAGTATAGTGGCTCTGGCAGGTTTACCCTCAGTAACCCGTAGTATCAAATACTGCATTGTCTGCTCGTGTGCTAAGCTACACTCAGGTTTTGGGTACTCATATACTCCTCACCACAGAAACAAGTGAGAAAATTTCTGTACTGTCATAATCAATACTGCACTCTTGCTTTTTTTTTTCTCTTCAACACATATCACAGGTGCTACACTATCATCTGACTCATGTATAAGTTTATAGATCTCTCCCATAACACAAACCCACAAAATTAACACAAGATGCTAATAGGGAAAGCCATTCTCCTCTCCAGTGTTCAGGCTAGTGAGACCTTTCAAACATTACAAGTATCATGGAGAAGGGCAGGTGTGGTCTGCATTCTCTGCAAAGTATGTCTCAAACTCAAAGTATGATCTTAGTAGGACTCTCCCTCCTGCTTGTAAAACTGATGAACCAAGAGCAACAGAGGACAAAACACTATTTCCTGGCTTTCCTGCCTATAGTCTGTGAACAAGGGGAGATGGACAGCCTTTAAAAGTTTACATGGTGCAAGCAGGATGTTGCATGGGTGCCCTTCAAGAATAGTATTCCATCGCTAGTGGCAATCCTTCCTTCCATCTTGAATACTTTGTGGGACAAGATGAATCTAGCCCAATCCCAAATTGAAAAAAATGGTGACACACACTTACTCCTTTTCTTCTGGTTGTATTCTCCAGAGTTAACTCATCTGTGATATTCCCTCTGCAGATACCACGAATTCAAAGCAGTAGTACATTACACTTTTTTCTCTTCTTCAGACAAACAAAAATCCCCCACTGCAAATGGTCCCTTTGCAAAACAAAGGCAATACTACCTTCATAAGAGCATTGTGAAGCTCAGCTTGTTCATGTCTGTTCAACGCATGATAAATATGAATATACTGTTTGTGTCAACAGTATAAAAAATAGGTAGAATACATAGAACTTATTCACCAAGAAACAAAAGTGTTTATTTGCAAAAAAACCCTTTTCAAAATTCTACAAGTCTGTACAGTCTGCCTTCTACCCAAACTGCAAGTCACTGTGGTTTATGCCGGAAATGGGTCTGCTGAGGGCAAAAGAGTCTAGGTCTGCTTTCTCAGCAGCAGCTGGTTACTCTGTGGCTATTTTCAGTTTAGCATTTAGATTCATCACGCTTATTTTTCTGCTCAGAAGCAAAACAAGTACAGAATGTAGGTGAAATTGCTCTTTTTTTTTTCTTCTCAAATATATAAAGGTTTTTGAAAGATAATGTATTTTACAAAATGGAATTTTTGGAAAATATCTGAAAATATTTGAACAATAGTAGAAAAATATTTTGTATAAACATGGATATACATTAAACTATAATACTACAACATAGTTTACAAACCAAGTATTTGGATATTCAGATGGCCTTAGATCCTCTTCATTGCTGATTTATGTAGAATTAGACTTAAAAAAATTACTGAAATCTGCATTCAATCTCATTTTCTTAAGAAAAAAAGAAGAAACTTGTGCCAGATTTAGCTATGCAATTCCTGTTCTTTTTCTTTTCTGTAAGCTGTTAACTTTAAAGTAGTAAGGAATCCTACAGACACAGACCAGTCATATTTCATATTCAGTTCAATGAAGCCTGTCATAAAAAGAGCGCATCTTTCCTTATCTTTTCCCCACCTCCTTGTTCTCTTGATATTGAGCAATGGTGAGTCTGACAGACAGTATTGCTTAGCTCCTATTATAAGTTAAGTGTGAATGACCAGTGATCCAGTTTGGCCTGCAAGCTGATTTTAATGGTGACAGCGGGCCTGACGACAGCACTGAACTGGGACTACTACTCTGTGCTGTGCTGAAACAGGTGGAAGGAGAGGATGGAGCTGTTTAGATTTATTAAATTTGATGCTGACTGTGCAAATAGGCCAAAACTATTTTGTGTTGGTCTACTGACATGTGGCTGGGAACAGAAGTGTCTTCTCTTTATGCAGAGGTTAGCTATCCCCACTGAATGGAAAAAAAAACCCCAACACTCCAAACAAAACCCAAAAGAGTCCCCTCTCTATGAAGCAGTGTTTACTCACAGATCTGTCACGCTTCGATCCAGAGACCCTCCCTCCATCTGACTTTCATTGTGGAGAGAGTCTGATTCCTGTACTTGGCACAGCTCCTCATCAGTGATTATATCAAATGCTGCATCATCTGGTGGTTTAGAGGCTTCACTTGCAACTGTGCCATAGAAGGGCATGAAAAGAAACATAAACAATATTAGCTCCTTTGGAAAACAAACAAGCAAAACCCTTAAAGGAGAAAACTGGGCCATTCCTCTACCTTTACAGAAGCATTAGGTAACTACTATAACAAACTGAAAAGCTCAGGCTGACTGAGACTCATTAAAAATACATGCAAATTTCTGTCAATACCAATTAAATTCAAAGATGGGACCAGTCCCACCCTGAAAACACTCCATGAACATGCATGTCCTTGGAGCAGGAGGTGACCATGCGATTTCTTGGAGAATGTCTAAGAACCCTACTTATTTCTTCAAAGCATGCAAACAATACACTAACCGAAAGCCCTCTCGGATGGTGACACAGGCGATTCCAATGAAGCTGGTGAACCTTCCTGGTTGGCACTGGATCCCGAGTCATCTGTACTGTCCACAATGACTCTAGGCTTATTAAAGCAAGCTCTGCAGCAACGCTCCTTTTTTCCACCAGGCTTTGTCACCATGTAGTTGTTGCAGCAGTAGTAGCAGAAAATGCGACCACACATTCTAGAAATTATTTGAAACCAAAGGTGTCAGAATAGTACCACATACAGGCAGAATATATCTATGTGACAGCATCTGGGGCTTTGTCATAATGGCCTTGTTCTCTGCAAAAGCTGGAATGCTACATCCATGGCAGAACTCATAATACACACTGTGCTGTTTTCTGAGGTGAAGCAAGTTTTCTTGACAAACACAGGACAGAAATTCACATTCATACTTTGCTGCCTTAATAAACAGGGAAAACAGAAAAAAACCCATAAAAATACTGAAAAAAAAAATTAAATACACATTTAAATATAAAGACATAAAAAAATAAATACCCACAAATATGCAATACAAATAAATAATATATATATTAAGTACATACAAAGGAAATGTACTTGATAATACTACACAGGCCACATATACTCAGAGCAAAACTCTATTTGATCATAAGCACTGTAAGAACACGTCTGTATGTCTACTTGGTAATCACCCCTCTCCCCTTCAGACAGGGAAGAAAAACCAATATTGGACACATACATGTACATTTATGCCTCCTGCCCTCTCTGCTCTGCCGTCTCTCAGTATTAAACCTGTCAACTACTTTTTAATGAACACGTTAAGATTTTCATGAAGAAAAGCACCCAGCAGGCATGATTGTTCTTCATGAAGTCCTAGTGTTTTTATTTTTCATAATCATTTAAATCATCAGTAGGTGAAAACATGAACAGGTTTCACAGATTTTAGTAGAAATGAGTAATTTGGAAGTTGTTACCAGAACTGACCCATTAATCCCCACCAAATGTTCCCCACATTCATATGCAATTTAAACAGTCCCAGCACTACAAACCTTACATGATGAATCAGGTGGTGAGGACAAAGAACAGTAAAGAGCCACAACATATCACTAAGACCCTGAAATGTATCCTCTTAAATACATTTGAATAAATCTAGATTAAGTAATCAATAATGCCAAGAAAACTAACTATACATGAAATAATTTAATATTAACTTTTAAAAAAAGATTACTCTGCAATCAGTAATTATCTCTGATATCTAGTATAAGTAACCAAGTTTATAATTGCACAGCATGTTGGATTTGTTCTGGAATACTTCTACCACAATAGCAAAACCGTCTTAGTGAATATTGTTTTCAGCATGCACAGAGCAGTGCATAATAAATATGTTAAAAACACAGTCCTTCAAAGAAACACACTATGTAGGGTGTGATTATCTTTGTTTCCAGAAATTATAAAACTGACAGTCAAGAGTCAAGAGTTGCATCCAGATCTTTGCCTTAATACATGTCAAGGGACCTTTCCATTAATGTCTCTTATCCCCTTGTGTCCTGGTTTGGCTAAAACAGG